TGCTCTTCTTAATTATTTAATGCTTTTGGTTAACATTTATATTCTTGCAACATGATGTTGTTATAGTGTACACGGTGTAAAACACAAGTCAAAGCAGACTTTCAAAATGGGTTAGGGGTCTAGGCCTAGCTCTCTCAAAAGCAAACTAAGTACAGTAAAACCAAATAGGCCAGCAACCACAGACATCCGTCTCGGCTGATAAACTGATTTATCTGGACTAGTCTAGTAGGCCTCCCTAGCTAGGCTACTAGTTATTTTGAGCTTTTTCCCTTGACGTACTAGCAACCAACCTGTCTTATAGCGTGCTTATAGTGGTTCTGGGCCTCTTTCGGCAACTTATTACATTCTCTCATCAAAAATTTATACAATTGCAGAGGAGTTGTGATCGTTGTTTTAGAAACCATTCTGACCTCCGTTTATCCACACATGTCTTTTTTGTGTACTTGACTGACCTGAAGTCATGCAGTAATAAAGATCGAACCAATCAAATAAGAGATGTGTGTGTGTGTACCTATATTGTTGCACCGGACAAGTTTGATTTGTCCGGTGCAACGAATTGTTTATAATTTTAAATTTTATTCAGATCGCATATAACCTGTCTCTTATACACATCTAGATGTGTATAAGAGACAGCAATAACGCTCAGCACCTTTGATCATATAATTTGCAATTGCCGCTATATAAATATTCAAGCATTATTTATCATTTATTTATTGTTCACCTACTTCAACTTAACAACCAGTTCCAATTCAACTCTTCCCCTTCCCTCCCCACCCTCATTTCCTCTCCCTGTCTTGATCCCCTGCTCACCTTTTTAACAATCCAATCAGTATCAAGTATTGCTCTATTAATTATCTGCTTGATTCGTTCAGGATCTGTTTCGTCCACATGACTATTATAACTCTATAAAATCAAATAGAAGAATACAGGTATAAAATTGTTGAATAATTTAAAAAAAATAATAATAATAATAATTATAATAATATTTGTTGAAGCTTGCAGTACACCACGTAGGTATTTCTGAAATGAACTGTTGTAGTTGAGAAAGTCTCGCCGTTTCCAGTCTTCAGGAGAATAATATTATCTGCAGAAATTCCAAACAGAGAAATACTTATATGTTTGGGTAGAGAGGCTGGTTGTTGATTGGATGAATAAACTGACTATACTATTATAAAATAATATTAAAATAAAGCATCAATTGAATGACATAGATGCATTATCAAAGGCATTGTGGTTAGTGATGGAAAAGGTGAGTTTTAAGTAATTTTTAAAATAAAGCAACAGAAGAACAGTTTTTAATGTCCGCAGGGAGTGAATTCCAAAGTGTAGGTGCAGCAAAAGAAAACGATTTACGCCCAATACTTTTTAAGGATGTGCATGGAATGGAGAGCAAAAAATTATCAGATAATCTATGGGTGTGTCCAGGAAAATTTGGGCTGATGAATGTAGATAGGTTGCTTTGAATGTAAGTAGCAAGATCTTGAATTTAATTTACATTCTTCTAAAAAATTTTTTGGCACCTATGCCATACTAGCTGTGTAAATGCTAGGGGGAGAGGTTTTCAAGACCCTGTCAGACACAACTCATCGGATCAAAAGAGGGAAAAAAATAAAAAAATTTTCCTTTAAAAAAATTGAGCATAAATTACATGCTAAAGTTTCAGAACAGCTTGAAATAGCCCCAAACTGCACAGCTGTTTTAGGCGTGAGGGAACTGGGCTCCATACCACAGGCCCCCACAACCCTGTTTGCTGTCGGCCAGTTTAGGTCCTGTCGGGCAAATCCTGGCACCTGCACGCAATATAATATATATTCATACATACCACCACCAGAATGAAAATAGGGGATGGATGGGGAATCCCCTGCATTTTTGTACCAAAAATTAGGCCCATGGGCCTGTGGAATTATTATGCCTAGGCCTAGACCCGTAGTGGCATACAAAATTCGTTTTTGTACATTGCGAAATTTGCACAAAATTAGTGCTCTTCTTAATTATTTAATGCTTTTGGTTAACATTTATATTCTTGCAACATGATGTTGTTATAGTGTACACGGTGTAAAACACAAGTCAAAGCAGACTTTCAAAATGGGTTAGGGGTCTAGGCCTAGCTCTCTCAAAAGCAAACTAAGTACAGTAAAACCAAATAGGCCAGCAACCACAGACATCCGTCTCGGCTGATAAACTGATTTATCTGGACTAGTCTAGCCTAGTAGGCCTCCCTAGCTAGGCTACTAGTTATTTTGAGCTTTTTCCCTTGACGTACTAGCAACCAACCTGTCTTATAGCGTGCTTATAGTGGTTCTGGGCCTCTTTCGGCAACTTATTACATTCTCTCATCAAAAATTTATACAATTGCAGAGGAGTAGTGATCGTTGTTTTAGAAACCATTCTGACCTCCTTTTATCCACACATGTCTTTTTTGTGTACTTGACTGACCTGAAGTCATGCAGTATAGATCGAACCAATCAAATAAGAGATGTGTGTGTGTGTACCTATATTGTTGCACCAGACAAGTTTGATTTGTCCGGTGCAACGATTTGTTTATAATTTTAAATTTTATTCAGATCGCATATAACTTCTGTTGGCAAGACTTTTTTTATTCCTTGTTTCGCGTAAGTAATTTTTTAAAGATCATCGGAGGAGGGCAGAATAAAAATAAAATTTTGTTTTCTTAGTTAGCAAATAGTTTTGCCAAGAACATCCAGATCGGAGGAGAAAATAGAAATAAAATTTTATTGGTGAATGTAAAATAGGATGGGTTAATGCTTCAAATTT